GCAGCCTGATTATCCAGTTTTGTAGAACATAATTATGAAAGAAATAAAATTGTATATTAATTTGAATAGAAAAAAAATTGCTTTATAATTACAAATTGTATGAGAGCTTAACAATTATTGAATTTATTTTGAAATTAATGTTACTTATATAAAAATTGCATCACACTAATTCAAGGCAAATTAATTCATTAATTTTAAATATAGTTAAATAAAGTATTCTATTACTCTTATTTTTTCAATTGAATTATGAAGAAGCTTGCAAGATTCATAATATTAAATCGGGATGGCCGTAACTTTTTATAAAAGTGATATAAAGAAAGTTTTTTTTTTAAGCTGGTATAGAAAGCACCTTCGTAGCATAAATTTTTTAGGAAATGGTGAAAAAATAACGACCAAATAAAATTTGTGTTTGCAAATTTAAAAGCAAAGATATAAGGAAGATATCTCAAATGAAGCCTATATGAGTTTTTGAGAGTGATTAGGCAAAAATATTAGCTCTAAAAAATATATTGGATGAATTTTCAATATAATTTTATTGAAGGTTTGTTGTAAAAGTTGCATGTTTTTGTAAAGATGATTGTAAATCAAATACAGAGAAAGTAAATTTTTTAAAGTTATTGTAAAAACAACTACTTTGTACAAAACAAAATTCAAAAGCAACGAGAAATCAATAGTCAAATAAAATTACAGTTGCAGTCTAAAAAGCAGAAAGAAAGCTGCTCCAAACAAAGTCTTAAAATGACATTAAAAAATAATAAATTGATATATGTCAATAATAAAAGCTAAATATTATTGCAACAAATCAAAAACTTGTGAAGCTATTTGATAGCGAATAATTCTTGTTGATCTCTATTGTGCTTAAGATTCTGTTTTGATGATCGCAATTTTTTATAAAGCTGTCATAAAAAGTAACTTTCTAGCATGGAAATCTTTTGAAATCAATAAAAATATATTAAAACAAAAACAATGGTTATAATCTGAAAAATAAAATAGTAAGAAAAATATCCTATTAGAATTATAAGAATAACATGTTGGGAAAGTTATATATATAAAGTGTTATACATTTAGTTGCTATCTAAAATTTAGCTAATTAAATTCGTGATCTATTTAAAAATTAAATTATTATTTGACTTATGTGGCATCTCATTTAAATTTGTATGAAATTAAATATAGTGTAGATGTCGAGTATTTATTTTATTTTAATGATGGATTAAAATAAAATAAATACACTTAAAGTATAAAAGTTTCGTAGTCCCCAATTTAAATGACTAAGTTCTTATTTCTCTTATTTCGTATCTTGAGTGAAAAAAGAGAGTCTCTCGCTTTCTTGGAGAACGCCACTTCAAACATGGAAGACCGAATATCTCAAATCTGCATTTCAATGATTTCATGTACGTTTCTAATATCTTTTCTCGATGATTTGACATGTTATTCGGAGAGGATGAAATTTATTTTTCCGTCTCCATTGGATCGAACATCACAGAAATATTTTGTGACAGAAAATGAACTATTATAATAACAAAGAGCAACTTTTTATGACAAACAAAGGATTCTGTTGTCCAAAATTTATTTTTTCGGATCATAGTAACAAGTGACACGAATCTTGAAGTAGTATGACACGTACAAATGAATAACTGGTGAATATTTGACTAAATTTGACCAAAATCATCTATTATGGCTTGATGGATCTCATGAGTCTACTGCCTATTGGAATTGATACATCTTAAAAAATTTATTTAATCAACATGAATACTAATGCGTTACTTGCATGAATGTTTCTAAAATTAAATTCAAAATCATTCGAGTTTAGATTTTCACAATTTTATAGTTGAATTAAGGGTCTTAATAAGACATTCTTAATGACATCAAAAGCAATACAATCTGAATTCAAAAGAACAAAAATTAAGAATTTAGAAGTTAAAAACTTCAAAGCTTTGATTGAAGGACCAAATAATCTTTGAATTTTGCATGATTATAGCTATATTGAAGCGCTCGACAAGATAAATTTAGCAAGCTTAAAATCACTTTATTTTGAGGTCATTTAGATAACTAAATGTTCAATGAGAGATCTATGATTAGATGATTCAGTATGAGGTACATCCAATATAAGTTATAAAAACTTGATCAAGTTTATCAAGCTGACACTGAACAAATACTATAAATTGATCACTCTCGTTCTCCAAATGAAATTTATCTAGACTTCAGTTTGGAAAGAACTTGGCGATCTAAATCAACTTCAGAGCTCAAGTTGATACCCAACGTTGACGATCACCGCCACCCATAGCCGTCATTCAATTGTCATTGTTTGACTGTCATTGTCTTATTATAAGTCAACCTGTAACTTTCAAATATTTTCTTCTCATCATAGTTTTCCAATAGTCACAATCCTTTCACTATCATCCGACTATTATCATCTTAATGATGTTACATTACAGTCATCATCAACTATCATCACTCAACCACCATCATCTAATCATTATCCTCACATTACAAAGTTGCATTATATATTTTATTATTCCGACTTCTCCGACATATGAGAATGACAGACTGTTATAACTATCATATCTATATAGTTGATTATTTGATGTATATTATATTCTTTTCACCTATCTATGTGTGTGTTTAATCCTCCAAAAAAATTAGAATATAAAAGTTTTCTCTTTAATTCATCCCCTCATTTAACAATCGTAATGATACTTTAATCATGAAATTAAATCTACTAACTATTTCGGATTTCCTAACAACTAATGGAATGTAGAACAATCATATCCATAACTTCACTACTATTGCTCTTGAAATTATTTGGCTAAAGAAAATACAAATAAATAATTTTTAATACAAATTAATTTATATTATGAATAATTATATGATTTCTATCTTTGCAACACCTCTTTTTAAAAAGAACATTTTCAAAGTAGTTACAATACTATTCGTATATGATCAATTTAGTTTAAGAATATTACATTGTCTCAATTTAATCTCTCAACAATATAAAAATAATTCAAAATAGTTTATCATGTTATAATTGTGATATAAAATTGATTCTAATATAGTTCCTCGGCTTTATAAAGCTTAATATGTCATCAAAAAATTATCTGGATCGGGCACGAATCTCGATGCAAAATCAAGTTTGAAACTTTCAAAATTAAAATTGGGACCATCCAAGCTCCAATTTCAACAAACTTATAGTCCAACTGAGCTTCTCGAGAATACGAACCGAACAACACCAAATCCAACCCAATCCGAGCCCAAACGGGTCCAAACCAAGGACCTGATCACTAAAGGAAAAATGGCAAATACCGGCGGTTTATAGACTGTCGGTATTACCGACGGGTCCGCCGGCGGTTAAGCCGTCGGACTGTATTGACGGTCAAATCGGCGGCTTAGCTAAAAGAATGATTACCAAATGATGTCAATTTAGGGTGAACCTCCCTCAAATTATGAAGCGTTGTTCAAAGGTTCGAACCACAATTTGGATTACCAAATGGTATCCAAACATTACGTGCTTAGATCGGGCACGAATCTCGATGCAAAATCAAGTTTGAAACTTTCAAAATTAAAATTGGGACCATCCAAGCTCCAATTTCAACAAACTTATAGTCCAACTGAGCTTCTCGAGAATACGAACCGAACGACACCAAATCCAACCCAATCCGAGCCCAAACGGGTCCAAACCAAGGACCTGAAGCTTTGTTCAAAGGTTCGAACCACAATTTGGATTACCAAACGGTTTCCAAACATTACGTTCTTATAGTAAAATCGAGCGGCTCGACGAGGAAAATCCAACGAGCCCAAGATCACCGAATTCCGATATCATTAAGACCTTCAAATGTCTGACGAATGATCCACGATCAAGGGATTCAATATCGACCATCCATCCAACCACTCTCCATTTACCCTTGATCTATCACCTATTTACGGGTCATGCCACTTCAGAAATCTATAAATAGACCCCTCATTTCTCTTGAAGGGGGAGATCCAAGCAAGAAGAGAACGAAAATAAGGAAGAAGCTCCTCCTTGACCACCGTCGGAGTTTCGTCGAACCACCGTCGAAGTTTCGCTAGACCACCACCTGAGGCCCTCGCCTTCACCGAGCCACCACTTGAGGCCCTCGCCTTCGTCGGGCCACCACCTGAGGCCTTCGCCTTCACGGGCTACCACCTAAGGCCCTCGTATTCGCTGAACCACCACCTGAGGCCCTCTCCTTCGTCGGACCACCACCTAAGGCCCTTACATTCACTATACCACCACCTAAGGGCCTGAACTCCGTCAGACCAACACTTGAGGCACTGAACTCTGCCAAATCATCAAGTGACACCAGAATTCTACCAAATCACTGTCAGACTACTAAATGACTCCTCAACTTCCAAGTGACGCAAGATTTAACACTAGACTTCGATCATACGATTGACATTTGTAATCTGATTGCCCTCTAGGACGAGTTAGCTCACTGTACTCAACTCAAATGCTAGTGAAATCTTTTCAACTAGGCTAGGCCCCGTGGTTTTTCTCATTTCCAGGGTTTTTCATGTAAAAAATCATGTGTTCTCTGTGTGTGAGCTGAATATCCGTTCAACGCTAAGATGTAAAATTACAACTCTATCGCTTTGTATATTCTAACCCGTAACAAAACTAATCTCAAATTAGTCCCAAAAGATTAATTTCTGATCAATTTTGTATAAACAATGGACTAAGGTTTCGTTTGTGACAGCTTTCTTCATGTTTCTTAAAGTAATTTTTTTGTGCAAAAATTACAAATTTTTAACTAAAAAGCCACTTTAAGAAGCAGGGAGAAAGTCGTCCCAATGCTTCGTTTGAGATAGCTTTCTTACTTATTTTTAATATAATATTTTAGTATAAAAGTTTTTTGAAGTTTTTTATTCTAAAAGAATGTTTTAAAAAGTAGTAAGAAATTTGTCCCAAATAAAATATAAATTAAAGTAATGTTACACTTTGAAACTAATACTCTAAAACTAAAATGATTAGTGAGGGAATTATTTTGAAATTTAATCTTTAAAAAATGAGCTAAATTACTACAAATAATAAGAAAAAAAAAAAAGAAATTCATCACGCAACTCTAATCGATCAGTACAATAAATGAATGAATCTTCTAATTAATTTATATAGCCTCTACTCGGAGAGTCGAAGCTTCTTCGCAGGCAAATGACTCTGAAGCTCCTCCGACTCTACCGTCGGCGGCGGCAAGTTTAGGTCGAAATCTCTGTTACCGACGTTAAATTCCGACTCCTTCGACACCACAAACGGGCAGTCCCAGTAATGCAGCCGCTTGTGCCCGCCCAATGCCTGACCCGATGCGAACCGCCTTAGGCAAACAGAGCACTGATGTTTCCCGCTGCCCAACCCGCCCGGCCATGTCAGCGACGGCGCGACGACCCCCAGGTCTCCTGGCCCAGCGTACCTCCGGTGGCTCGACTTGTGCCCGCCCAACGCCTGGTAGGAAGGGAACACCTTGCCGCAGACCTTGCACCTGTGAATTCCGGGCTTTGGCCGGCCCGGGAGTATCGGGTTTGGACCGCGATGGCTGGCGGTTAAACCGCCGCCGCTGCCGGCGAGTATTAGGAAGCCTAGAGGAATGAGTTGCTCTGTTGTTGATGAAGTGAATGGAGAGAGGCTGAGCAGAGTTTCAATGACTGCCATTGGGGAGATGGAGAAGACGACTATGAAACAAAGGCGGAAGAGAGATTTGATGCGAAGTAATCTGCTGGAAATTTTTTTGTTTGGGTATTAAATATACATAATTTCTTGATTTGATTTCATTAGAGAATTGAAAACATGTGGCGAATTCGTGCATCGGAGAAGCTTCCATCGCCGGAGAATGAGACCGAGGGGTTTGATGGCGGCTTACTTTTTACATTTTTTGAATCATTTCTTGACGCGATAATAATATGAGCAGGGGTGTCAATATTTGGCCCTAATTAAAAATTTGACTCAAATTCAATTCGAAAATTTTAGGATAGGGTCAACATGTTTTGCGAACGGGTCAAATTAGGGTTCTAAAATTCGATTCATTAGAAAAAAGGATGGGTCCAGGTCAACTTGCCAACCAGAAGTTGACTTGGATTGACCTTTTTAATTGCCTCCTTAGCTAGCCCCTCAATCTCCTGCAATCCCACTCTTCTCTAATTCGCACATCTGAAAAGAACAACTGAACAAGAGCCGGCCCTAGCTCCTCTTTTCCGTCGCTCTTGCCCGAACAAGTCCCAAACGAACACCCCGATCCCTCTCTTCATTAGTGGCTGGCAGCAAGCCCTCATAAGACCCCTTTAGCCTTCGTACGAACCCGGGCTGAACTTGACGACGCCTCTCCCTCTCCCTATTCTCGAAGCCCTCCATTTACCAAACCGATCGGGACTTCTGACTCCAAAAACAGCTCACACATCCCATGAGCCATTTCATCGTCATTCTCTTTGTTGGATCATAAGTAACGAAGATGATGGGTTAGTGCAACATGTCAGGTTGACCCAGGTCAGAAGCGGGTCAAGTTTAAGTTTGAGAAAGTGACTCGTTTGAAAAAAAAAAACAAGTCTAGTTCAGGTTAGGTCAACTAGTATCGGGTCAATTCCAGATTTGACCCGACCCATGACCCTATTTTAATACCCTAAATATGAGGTCCAAAGTGCATAATATATTTATATATAAATATTCTGACATAAGATATATTTAAATAACTTTAACATTTATCATATTTATTATAAGATTTATATAATATAAACTCTCTTTCTCTCTCTGTGTATATAAATCATTAATTTAATAAAATCTTTTTTTAATTTTAATAAAATGTATATCAGAATATTTTGATATAT